CAGAGACAAGTCTTAGAACATTTTTTGAAATGTAGGTGGATTCCACTTACAAATTTTCAGTGGGTTCCGCGTACAAATAACTGTAACGTAAATTTTGTCGGCCCATTGATTTCGTTGCGGATTCCGCAACGAGCAAATATAAGTTGTTTCTCCGGATTCCGCAAATGTAAGCGGATTCCGCAACTGTAAATGGATTCCGCAATTTTATGCGGAATCTGCTTACAATTTGCGGATTCCGCTTACAATTTGTGGAATCCGCTTACAATTTGCGGATTCCGCTTACAATTTTCGGATTCCACCTACTGCTGCGGGTTCCGCGACAGCTTACTATACACATATATTAATATTTGTTCATGGATTCCAGAAATTTGTTCCGGATTCCACACATTTGTTGCGGATTCCGCGGAGTTGCTTGTTTTTGGAGCAATTTTGAGCAATACAGTGTTTTAGCTATTTTCCGTGGAATCCAAAAACAGCAGACAAGATCAAAGAAATATAGCAGTTTTGCGGATTCCGGGACAAATCTGATTCTTGCTTGTTTCGGAAGCCGCTTACAGTGCACAGAAGGCACAGTTTGGCCTCGTAATGTATTTTAATAACCCCACTTTTTTTTGTACAGTTATCCTTTTTTCTAGAGAAAATTAGAAAAAAATAGAATAAGTGAAACTAGAAAAAATTTGAGAAAGTGTCAATTTTTTCTTCTCGCATCCCATGATCCACCAGAAGTATAATATCTAGCTTAAATCAACCTTGGTTTGATTATCATAATGTTCCATCTCCCCAAAAAAGAGTTTAGCAAGTTATTAGCTTCTGATTTTTAAACTAAAACAATTACTTTTTTCAAACGTTTAAGAAGCTGGAGCAAAAAGAATTGAGAGGACAAACTTATCAATTATAATCATTTAGTTTTATAAAAAAAAATCAGTGCTTTAAGAAAGTTATGATAAATCAAAGCAATATGGTTTTGTTTAAACGCGCTCGGTAGCGTCAGCAATAGTGTTTTTTAGATCTGCGAAAATTGCTTTTTGTTATCGTTAAGAGTTGATAAAATCTGGTGTTGTTGGCCTGCTTTTATTCTGGTTTTTTGGCCATTTCATAAATGGTTTCTACTCTTTGGTGTTCAATTTAGTGTTAATTTGTCCTTTAGTCTTGTATACTCTATGTTTTTAAATAGATGTACTAGTTTTAAAGTATTTGTGTTGTTTGTCATTTTTTTTCGACATGGTAGGTTTTGTCGCTTTTTCGACCAGCTGCCATAGTATGCTTGTGTTGCATTGCAAATGGGTTGCATTGCAGATGCCAGAACAATCATCTTGTAATCGAAAGAAAAACTGTTTTTCCCGTTAACAGTTTTCTTGCAAATCTGTTAGCAATTGAAAGCGTATCAGAGTTTCGAGTTCCGATCAGAGGTTGGTTTTTCAATATGTATGAAAATCATTGTCTTTTCGTTTGTTTGCTTAATTTTTGACGGTCTAATTTCTGAGGATGGAACTTTTTTTTGAAAATTGGCAGTCATTTGTTTATGTTTTTGCCTTAGTCAGCTTATTTCGTGTCGTTTGAAGGGCAAAAAACAAAACGAATTTTTTTATACCACAAGCTTTTCAACTCGATTTTACTCGATTCAAAATTGCGTTTTTGATGTTCGAGAGGGCGACGTGGCACAACTGTGAAGATAATTGCTACAATTTTTTTAGAGTTCAGTATTTTGAATCCCGTAGCCGGTTAATTCGTTTTATCTTTCAAAGTCTCCTGTTTTTTTTTTCGTTACTTGCCTTTTTTAAACCATTATTTGCTTGCTTTTGCAAAGTGCAATTTCGTTTCTGTATCTATTGCTAAAAACGCCAAAAACTCTCTGGACGCATGATTTTTGGGGACAATTTTTAAGCGAAAAACATAAATATCCTAGACGCATTTTTCAATCAGAACTCTGAATAAATCGGAACTGAATGTCTGTCTTTTGATCAAACTTAAATATTTAGACAAGTTGTCTCGAATTTTGAACGTAAGGCAAGGGGGGAGATATCAAGGCAGGGTAGTGCAAGGAGACTCAGCATACGGCAAGGCAGAGTAGCCGATAGCAAGGATGGGCAGGGCAGCAAAAGGCAATGCAGGACAGCGTAAAGCACTTCAGGACAGCACAAAGCAAAGTGGTGCAGGACAGAAAGCGTTGACAGCGAAAGGCAGGGAAGCGTCAGGCAAATCAGGGCATCGTAAAGCCACTAGAGTAGTGCTAGGTAATGGGGGCAGGGCGGAAGCGCAAGCCAATCTATACGACCTCGTTATCTTTGCTCTCCGAGTCTCAGCTCTAAAGAAGTTTAGTTTAGGTCAATTTCAATTATTTAGGCAGATTGTCTTGTATTTTTGAGCGCAAGGCAAGAACGGACAGAGTAAGGCAGTGCAGCGCAAGTCAAGGGGGCCAAAACAGAGAAAGTAGTTTCAGTGTAGGGCAAGGCAGAGTAGCTCAGAGAAAGAAGAGGCAGGGCAGCAAAAGGCATGGCAGGGCATGGCACGGCAAGGCAAGGCCGTGCAGTACAGGGCAAGGAGAAAGGAGAAACAGGATAAACAAAGTAACATAGCAGGGCAGCGCAAAGGAAAAGCAGGGCAGCGCAACGAAAACAGGGCAGCATAAGGCACGGCAGTGCAGCTTAGGGCAAAGCCAGACAGTGCAAGGCATGGAGGCCAAGAAAGAGTAGAGAGGTTCGGCGTAAAGCAAGGTAGGTTAGTACAAAGCAAGGAGATGGAGGGTATCTCAAGCAAGGGTAGGGCAGCGCAAGGCCAGACCGAACAGCTTTGGGCAAGGCAGGACATGAGGAGCAGTGCAGCGTTGGGCAAGGCAGGACAGTGTAGGGTAGCAAAAGGCAATGCTCCTTGCCTCATGAAAGAACCAGCGTTGGAAAACTATTTTCTGTAAATTTCAGCCAATCTGAATTGAGTATTCAAAACCTTCAAAAAAAAGCGACAAGTTTAAAAAAAGCGAATAAAAATAAGCAAGTAAAAGTAAAAACGACGATTTGAAAAAAGTTAAAAGCGTGAATTTTCAAACATTGGGAAATCGAAGTCGGGCATTGCAAAATCCTGAAACCGATTTAAAATAAAAATAAACAAAAGTAAAATTTATAGTATATTTTAACGAATGAGACATCTATAGTATATCTTCACGTAATGTTCCTTTATATGTATACACGTTATGTTTCATTTTCACACGCTATAGTATTCTACATCTTATTTTGAATTTTCCGTTAGAAAGTTTTCCATTATTCGGTCTCTCCATTATGAGAATACTCACATAAAAAAATTTTGAGTCTGCTCATTCTCCGTAATGGGTTTAGCAGTTACCTCTAAATCTCTCTGCTTAAAAACTTTGTTTTCTGTCGTCCCCATATCTATGCAGTTTTGGAAATTTTAGTGCCCTTTTGATTTGTCTAAATTTTGATTGAACTTTTGAGGCAGTGTAAGAGTGACGAAATAACAAACTGCCAAACGATGTTACTGTAGGTAAAAAACTGTTTTCACTCTTTCCTGGCATCCATGCCTAATTATGTTCAGCAGTGCTGGAAATGAATGTAGGTGCCTCTGGTTGCAATAATTGTTTTGAATGGTTGAAAAATGAGGAGGAACTTTGTGTTCAGGTGTATTTTTTTTGCTTTCCATGGAATTTTAGCTACCACAAAGCATCATAGAAACAGTTGACAGGTATATAAAATTTTTGCTCTTTCACTCGTCATTCGAACAACGTTAGAAAACTTTGAAAAAATTATCGCAGTGTTGAGAAAAACCAGTTTGAAATTTTTGATTTTTCGTCTTTATTCGTGCGAAGAAATTGGCTAAAAAGCTTACAATAGCCTTGTTTAAGCCTTAAAAATTTAATTTTACTCGAGCAAAGTTTTTTTCGTTTTTCTAGTCAGTTTTCTACAAAAATTATTTTACGTAATTTTGCGTAATTTACCAAGACTGTCGAAAATGCCTATTCTCTAGAGTTTTGTTGAGATCCTTTTATCATATCATGCGGAAAAAAACTACCCTGATTTGATATATATTTATTAAAAAAAGGTGTTTGGAAATTCTGTGCTTCTTGCACAGTAACCGGCTATCCTTGTTTTTTCTTGTAAACTTTTATCCAGCCATTAGTTTTTTTAATTTCAAGTTCTGTGAAAACTTCTGTTCTTTCTATTGAAAAAAAGTTAATTTACACAATGACAAGTGCTGAAAATGGTACAATTTGCTCTGATTTGAAAATTCGGACGTTGAGGTGAAGATTTGTTTTAGAAAAGGCAAGCGGCATCGAAAACTTTGATGCGTTTTTTTTTCGGTATCGGATTGTTGATCAACATTTTCAATGCTGGTTGAGGATCGAATCATGGTATCTTCGAGTTTGCTTGTTTCATGAAAATCTATGTTCTTTTAGTCAGTCAGAGCTTCTGTTTGCGCGGTGCGGTGATTAGATTATTTATCTTAGGCGCAACTTCTGTCGTGTATTTTTTCTATGCTTACTCTATTCTGAAACCAATCCATTTAATACCGTTAGTCGACTTTTTTCCTTAAACATTTTTGTTCACAGGATGGCTAAAATTGGTGGTCATATCCAAAACTGTACGTTTGTTAACCAACAGACATATTTTGAGCATGTCTGCTTTTAAAAGCCCGTTCTGTTGGAATTTTATTTCTGTCGGTTGTAAATTTACCAACTTCGATTTCAGTATTCTTTGTCTAAAGCAGTTGGCAAGATGTTTCACAATGACAGTTTGACATATGCTATGCTCAACTCTGATTGGCTGAAATTTATAACTGTTTGCGAAGTGGGCAATCTCCCCCCTGGTTGTTTTAGGGGGGAGATTGTTCACTTGGTCCTAAAATTTCATTCATTTCACCACGTAATTATTGGTTAAAATCGGATGTTTGACATTTCGGATGTTTGACATATCGGATGTTTGCCCTCGATCCGGATGTTGTCTAGCAACGCAATAACCTCAATTCTCGTTGTCTTTTAGTTTATTTCAGCACAATTAGAAAATTAGAATTGAAAGTTAAACTGAAACTAATAAGTAGATTCCCGGAAGTTTTCCATTCGTCAGAAACAGTACCTTGGTCAGAAAGAATGGTTACATCAGCAGAATTTCTACAGCTAAGTTATTAGGTTTATATCAAATATATTTTTTTGGATAAAATTCTGGAACGTGTTTTTGTGTCCAATTTCATCAGGCGAAGTTTGCCCAGTTGCCCTGTCCTCTCCGCAAGTTTGCGTCCACCTCTCTGAAACAATGGATACAATTGATGCAACTTTTGACTCGAATATTGAAATTATAAATTTCATGTCTACTTTTGATGGCTACAGATGATGGCTTGAAACAGATGATGGCATGAAGGCATCTAAATTATTTTTTAAAAGAAAACTTTAAGAATTTGAAAGCTTTTTTCATTTTTCTTCAAGTGATATTAAGGTGAAATACAAAGTGGTCTTTTTGGTGCATAGTAATGGATTGTACACACTACCTCGGTGGTGCTTCATTTTGGGCGGGGGGCAACAAGGCCACTGGAGTCGGAGGGGTCACTTGTCTCGGCACTGGGGCTGGGGGAGTTGGCTCTCGTGGTGGTTCGGCTGCCGGCTCCACTCGGTTGCTGCGCCTCGGTGCTTGTCGTTGGGTCTTCGAGCTGTCGATTGTATCAATTGTTGCTTCTCTGAAGATTTAACAGTTATATATTTTTTTACATGATTAAGAAAAAATGACGCACATTTATGTTATTTTTAGCAGTCTGGATCATTTTATACAAAAATGTAATAGTTCAATAAAAAAATTGATTGCACTTTTTCTTGGAAAATTTTTGGCTTCCTGAGTAATTTCGAAAATGTAAGAGCGCAAAAATTAGATAACAATACCATAACACCATTGTGATGAATATATAGGCTTTTTGAATGATTTACACAAGAACGTAAATATTAGAAAAATTTTAATTGAAAAAATTTGGTAGTCAAAATTTTTGAGCAATTGAACATATTAAATTCAAATATAGGAGTCTGTGAGACAAACAAAATTAAAAAGCAATCAAGGCATAATTCTACCTGTAATTAGTCAGAACTCCCCCAGTGTGAGAACTCAGTCCGTTTTTCAACTCCAGCTCCATCTGATGGCTCACACTCGGGTAGGAGAAAAGACACGCAAAAAAGTCCTCCAATCCGCTTCCATAGTAGTCGAGATGGGATCGAACCCGCGACCTTTGGACTGCCAACACAACCACGAATATCAGGTAGCAGAGCCATCCGAATGCCCACAGACCATCAATGTAATAACGCAGAGCGTTCAAAGCTGATGCGCCACTAAGCAGAAGGTACAAAAAAGCCGAAATCACCAACGCAAGGTTGTTGTTAAGGTTCCGAACAACACAGTAGGCTTTGGAGGAGTTATAAGGTCCAGTGAAAATGTTTAGGAACCAACCCATAATTGGATCCACTTTTGCAACTGTGCAGAAATCGAGAAAGCCGACACGCCATGTAGCCGACTTGTGGTCAACTTCACCAGTTGTGACGCGTAACGCGCGATACAAAGCGATCATCATGACCGCCGACAAAATCGACATTGGGAAGCTTAGCACATACGATACATTTGCAATATCAGATATTGTGTAATCGCCTTCAATCGTAACCAACGCCGTACTTGTTCCGCCAATCAAAATCAACCAAATCACGCTCATGCCGCGAGAGGGCTCGTACTTTCCAGCTGCAATAATCGTGCTGATTACATAACCGACAAAAGATAAACTGACAACTGCAAATGCAAACATCGCGAAGAGTGAAAGACCATGTAGGGCTTCGTCTAGCTCGAAATATGTCCTTAAAAGGGCAATCATTCGTTTGTCAGCCGAATAGCAAGAGAGCAACGCAACATCCCGACGACTGTCTTCGGGTGAAGGTCCTCGGGTGTTTTGAATGTAATCAAACCCATCCGCAATGTTTTCCGCAGATCCCGCGAGATCCGATTCCCGCAAGTTAGGAATGAATACAGCAAAAGTCGAGCCCAAGTTTATATATTTAGTCAGTGTTGCTAATGAGCACGTGTTGCAAGTCGCCGCTTGACAAAGAGGTGCTGCATTGGCAGTTGTGAAAGCCAGAGGGGACAAGGCGGTTAGCGTAGCCGGATTCGAGAGAGCGGCAGAGTCCCAGTTTTCGGAACAGCAGTAGGAGGATGAATGGGCCAGACGTTCGGATGCGATTGCAGCTCCTCCGAGAACTGAGATTCCGACTAAGACGGCAGCAACCGGAGCAATGAAAGAGTAGGTTATGAACTCTCGCACTGTTCGTCCTTTGGACACTCTTGCGAGAAGTATACCTAAGAAGTAGACATCATTAAATAAGCCATATAATATTCCATTTTAAACTTAAATTCTGAAAATCTCAGCTAGAACTCTAATGGGCGTCTTCTCCCCTACCCTCTTAGGGTCCTTTTAAGCCTCTCTTGTCACGAGTTTCTTAATTCAAGCACATGTACAATACAAAAATAAACAATTGACATTTTTTTCCATATTTACGGTTTTTTTCGGCAAATATGACTGCGCGATTTGAGCATTCTGTGCTTCTTGCGCAGCTCTCATCTACTCTTATTATTTTCTTTTCTTACTTTGTCTTCTTCATTAATGTTATTGTTTTGACTATTGAAAATAGGGAGGAACGTGGTATTCGGGTGTTTTAGTTTTTTCTTTTTTCTTTTTTTTTGTTTTCCTAGCAAAATCAGGCATAATCATCGGAGGTGGCCAAGTATTATATCATATTAAAGCTTTTTCCTTCATGACTCAAACGACAGTAAAAAAATTTCAAAGTGTTATCCCAGTCTTGAGAAAAACCGATATGAATGAATATGAAAATTTTGAGATTTTGTCTAATTTCGAGCGAGTAACGCGATCGAGTAACGCGATCGAGTAACGCTCGTTATGTTGAAATTTACAGTTTTTTTAAACTTTTAACTTCGTTTTAACTTTTAGGATGAAATTGTTAGTTTTACAATTAAAAAAAATAGTTTTGGATGATTCAAATAGCGCTTGTTTTGCAAAAAAGTTTTTTAAAATAGAAATATTGTGCAAAAAATTGGAAAAAAAAATTTCAAGTTTTTTTTTCATTTTTTTGTTTTTTTTTGGGAGACAAATAGTGTCAATCAGCCAATTTTTAAAATTTCATACGCGATTGTATAATTCTCAAATCAGATCACCCACTAAAAACGACACTAGTTTGAAGAAAAGTTTTAACAATTTCTTTTATTTTTATGAATATGGTCGGAAAATTCTTTGATACTTTCACAGCAACTGGTTTTTCATGTATATTAGTTGTAGTTGTTTGATAAAATGGCAAACAAAAATTTTGCCAGGTAACTAACCGACAAATGGCGCCCAAGTGAGCCACCAGCTCCAGAAGACGAACGTGTTGTTCTCAAACCAGTCTTCCGGTCCATCTGTCTGTCCAGCGCCTAGAGCTCTCTGCCGTTCACTGGCACCAGCACTTGCACTGAGCTGTTCAAAGGCATCTGTATGGAATCCCAGTTGCAGCAACCAGTTGAGATAGTTGCCAAGTGATTGAACGAAGAGGTTCAGAAGGAACCAGGAGTTGTCGAGCAAGAAGACGACTACGACCAGAGAAGCGCCAGCCGTGAGCGCAATGAAGGTGAATTTGGACAGGCCGTACTTGACTCCGAACAGCGAAATCAAGGCAGAACATCCGACGACTGTCCAAATTATTGAGAGCTAAACAGTATGAACATTGAAATATGAGCAGAACAAAAACAAAAAACTGGAAACTTTACTCGTAAATACATTCAGTCCAGTGAGAGCCGTCAAACTGGACTTCAGTTCATTTTCCACTCAAATATTTTCACTAAAGACATTTTTACTCAAAAAATGCGTCACAAGTCCATCATCCCATCGCGGTCCAGAGTTCAAGTGAAACCTCGATCCGTAATCGTTGCCGAAATATGAGAACAGAAAACTTAGTCTTTGTTCCGAAAAAATCAACAGATAACTGCATGTAGTGTAATAATTACACAGAGGCACAATAACAATATCATTAAAAAATCTGATGAAGCCTGGTTCCGACAGTATGTTCCGACAGAATGTTCTGACCATATTCATAAAAAACAGAAAAAACTTTTTTAAATTTCCGTCTAATTAGTGTCCTTTTTAGGGGTGGTGTGATTCGAGAACTACACGATCGCGTAGATAATTTTTGGATTAGGCATGATCGACAAAAATAAATTGTTACTAAAAAAATCATGCTGATGACAATCTCCAAGACTGGGTTCTGTTAGGATGATTATTTCTAAAAAAAAAGTGGATACTGGAAACAGTTTTTTGTTTCCTCCGTTTAAAATGGGGGGAACTTTTTATTCGGATGTGTTTTTTTATTTTTTTTTCAATTTTTTTTTGTTTTCCTTCTAAAATCAGATACCCCAAATAATAATCGGACAAGGTTGAATGATATATCATCTTGAAGCCCTTTTATTTGTGATTCGAATAAGTTTTACAAATTTCAAAAAAAAACTTCTCAGTATCGAGACAACCCGATTTGAAATTTTTGATTTTGCAGTCTTATTTCGAGCAAGACGCATAACAGACGCATAATTGTTTTTTTTTAAGAAGGATAAGCCTATTCGAGACCTGAAAGTTTAATTTTAACCTAATCAAATTAGTGTTCGAAGTTCTTTAGCGCATTCAAAAAAGCAAAAAATGAGCAAAAAAATTTTCAAAGTTTTTCAAATTTTTTTAAACTGTTGTCCATCTTGCCAAGTTCATGAAGAGTGTCGAATTTGCTTATATTTTAGGCTTTCAGTTAATCTCATCAAACCACGCTCATAAAAAAACGACATTGAATTGAAATGTGTTTTTTTTTTCAAAAATATGATCGGATGGAGATTCTGCGCAACTTGCACAGCAACCGGCTATCATTTTTATGATTAGAAATCGAAGAACTACCTCAATCCAGTCTTTGTTCTGGGGAAGCTCGTCAGTGAGAAGATCCATGAGATACAGTCCAGAGTACATGTGTCGAGCAGAGAAGACAACTTGGAAGACAAAGTTGAGGAAGACAATGACCACAGCCACAGTGTCCACAACATCCCCCAGCCAGGTGTGAACAGATTTACCCACCAGGGGGTAGAAGCAGGAGCGGAGAGTCAGAGGGAGACCCTCTCTGTGGGCGAGGAGGGAGAGAGTGAGACCGAACAAACAGAATACAACCCAAGCATGAACACCTGAAATGCATCACAAAAAATAATGGTTTGTTTTTTTTTCCATCAAATAGCCCTTCCAACAAAGTAGATACACTGTGAAGAGCAAAGTTGACTGTGTGGGGAGGGGAGGGGAGGGGAGGGGGAATAATTAAAAGTAAGAGACGCAGAATTTTGTGATCTTCATAATCAAAAAACAAGATAAGGAGGATTTTTTCTGGTAATTTTTTGCGACAAAAAATGACTTGAAGATTGATTTTGTTTTTAATCTGGTTGAAGACATCAGTCAGAGCACCAATAAAAATGCAAAGTGTTCTCAATGGGAAATTTAAAAAAAATGGAAACCAATGGCCATAACTTTCTCTCACCGTAATGAAAAAAGGTCAACTTGATCGCCATCTGAGCTAGAGTGTTGTCTGCAATATGGGGGTCGGCCAAGTACCTATTCGACCCATCTTTTGGGTCATAGTGAGATATGGGGTCACTGACCGCATAGTAGAACATCTGCGAACTGACCCCTGCGACAAGCGCCATTGCAAACATAGTCATGGTTGAAAACTCTGGCTTTTCATCTTGGTTATCAGCTAGCCGAACGTTTTTAAATCGACCGAAGAAGATATAGGCGATGAATATTATCATGACATCGCGAGAGCTGACATGGAACCAGGTCCATATTTCGGCAACCCATTCCAGAGCGTCCGAATACTCCTCTGGCACGAGATTGTCGAGTAGAACGCATGAACAAACCAGCGCTGCAATTGAGAGAATTGAGAGGCAAAGAACCACTGGGTTAAACTCTGTTTTAATCAAAGGCAGTTTGACGCTGTATATTTGGTCCTGAAATATACTAGGTTAGGTGAGCATTGACGTTTTAGCTGTGAAGGTATCCTATCCTACTCTCATTTGAAGGTTCAATGTTGGTTCATGGCCCGTTATCATTTCAAAGGGTGAAGCATCAAATCGCCAACCCTTAAAAACTACCAAAAACATGTCGTTCTTAATCATGGCATGTACGGCAATGCTAATTGAAGAGCTGAACACTTTCTAACCAAGAAAAGGCTCCTCCGTTGGTACTTTTTCAAGACAACTAATTTTGGTCAATGAGACTTATAATATTGCTAAAATAGGCTTAGGCACCAATTTACACGGGATTCGAGGGAGAGGGGGAGAAAAAACACAAATTTTTGGTCAAAAAAGCTGCAAAAATGCGCCAAATTAGCCAATAATTGTTTGCTTCAATTTTAAACTTTCTTCTCAGAATTGGATAGGGACGGGGACGGGGGAGAAGAAACACACTGAGTTTCTTTTTAAATTTCAAACTGAGTTTCTTTTTAAATTTCAAAGCTAAAAAATAAGTTAAATCTTATCTAAGCCAAAGTTTACCTGATTGTAACTGTATCCTTCCATTGCTGGTCCCAAATGTCTTGAACTGCGTCTAGTCTGATCTTAGACTGATATTTTATCTCTCTCAAATTGTCGTCAAAAATATTCGTTTCTACAATAGTATTATTAGTTATTTTATACAATATCTGGTTTGACTGAAGTTTATCAGTTTTAAATCAGCACTAAGCCAGTTTTTTGGTTATGATAAACATTGAAGCCTTTGTCTTGCATTCCAGCTTGGTTATTTAATTTTAAAAAGCTGAAACGTACTAAGACAGTTCTGACGCAAGCGCTTGTCCAGCTTTTTTTCGGCTCATGCAGCTTAATGCGCATAATTGAAATGTTGTCATTATGAACCAGATGAACTTTGGTTAGATTGATATTTGAATCAGTTTGAGAAAAATTTTCAATTTGTAAACATGCGCCAAGTATAAAATAATGGGCTTCATGAGTTGGTGGAAAACGTCATCATTGTTGTTATGCGTAATTCGTTTTTATGATTCTTCAAATCAAGTAAGTGACAAACAGCAAACTCGAATAGAAAAACTTCAAAACTGATGTTAAACTGACCTCCTTAATAAATTATTCTAATTCTTCAACTAAGTATGTACACATGTACAGTTATAAAGTTACAAGATAAAAAACGTAGTTCCCAGTTTGAAATAAAATGTCTGCTGTTAAATATTTCAAACTGTGAGAGGACAACCCGGGTTGATGTCGTGGTTTTATGTTCAGATTTTATAAGTCTGAATCGATCTGCGTTGGGACCGAAAATGCATAATGGCAACGCAAGTCAAAGTCTGCAAAGTCCAAACATAAGTCTGCAAAGTCTGAACTTAAGTCTACAAAGTCTGAACATAAACCTGCCAAGTCTGAATATACATGTTTATAAAAAAAGCTCACATACAAACAGAATAGAAACTTCTGAAATCTACAGTCAATTTTTTTTGTTTCCGCAGTCTGAACCCAGAATTTGTTATTTCATAATTTTGAAACCAGGTTTTGACTTCCTCGCAGTTTTACTGTTCTCATAGTCCGAACAGGCGTTTTTTGTGTACACGAGTTTTTATCGGACTCTTTGGTTTGAAACAAGATGAAATGATCCACAGGGTGACATGGTCTTGTTCCGAAATTCTGTGGTCCACACGGTCTGAATCCGGATTTTTTTTCGTTAACACAATCTGAAACCCAGTTCCTTTGCCCACACGGTCTAAAGTGGATTTCCGCAGTCCACGCGGTCTGATCACAGCATTTTCTGGTTCACATGATCTGATTATACCATATTGTGGTCTTAAGAATCTGAAAATGCTAAATCTTGATCCACACGCTCTAACCATAAAAATACAATCTTGAGCCGCGGACCTGCCATCAAAGCTCAGAAATTTTCTGACTGGTATCTAATCAATACCAGATGTCACATAAAAATGAAAATAATTGCAACACAAATCACAAACTTCCTTAACGGGAAAAACGTTGACGTATTATATGTGGGTAGATGATCACACACAAATATTTCCATGTTCAACGTGGAAACAAACAAGTCACAAACTACACAAAATCTTACGAGATTTATGTCCAGAGTAGACATGATCGTATCCTGAAATTTATGACTATATACATTGATGAAATACGTACAGGGTGATGAATTAAAGTACCTATGAGCAAATTCCTATGTAATTTCTGACCACCTACGTAAAATTAGTGTTACACAATTTACAAAATGGGGTAATTTTCTATCACTAAAGAAAAGTTTCGAACTTAGAAGAAAGGTTGAAATAAACAGAGGGTTTTAAGAGAAAAAATCAATTATGAAAAAAAATTGAGGACTTAGTCTAAATTTTCCATGGCCTCAGTTTCTACGACATACAAAACATTGCTTTTTCCGTTGTCTTCTAATTTTTCAAATTGATTATTCGTCGGGTCTTGCTTTATTGGAGTATCGTGTGTCTGTTTCGGTATTGGTGATTTTTCTGGAATTTAACGCACGGGTGACATAGGGCTTCCGAATGACACTTGTGTTATTGGCGGGTTCTCTAGTGTAATTGGAGTACGGAAGTCCAACGGAGACTGGGAATGGCAACTGAGCCAGAAAGAAATTTTTGTCGGGCTGTGTATTAGATAAATGACCGTTGGGCTCCCCGTTTTGTTGTTGGAAACTTTGTTTTTGAATCTTTTTTCTCTGTAAAAACATGGAGTTTTCACATTTTATTGGGGTCGGCTGAACTTTTTTTGAGTGGCCTCCACTGTAAATGGTTTTCTCAGGGGAAGCTTACATCTCGTGTTAGGTTCCTTTGATGCGCCCAATTATCTTAAGAGTTCAGTCCCGGAGTTAGTATTGGTGACAGAAGGGTTTTCTAGAACAATGACCTCCGGGACCTGTGACGGTTTGAGTCCTGTAACTTTTATATCAGAGTTAGACGATTGATGGATGGAACGACGTGATTTTACGTGATCTTCACAAAGTCGTTGAATGGAGTGATAGTGAAAAATTTTGCTTGGCATGGTTTGGGAAGAGAGCCGATTGGAATTGCACGTCCAATCGGTATTTGGTTTTTGTGCCGACCATTGAAAATGGGAAAATGGGGAGGAACTTTGTATTTATTTTTTTTGTTTGCAACGCAAAATCAAGTCTTTCGTATTATTTCGAGCGAATAAAGCGAGCGAGTAGTCTTATTTTAATTGCTTAAAAGCTTACAATAGCATAACTTAAATCGTATAAACTTATTTTACCTGTTGTCTTAAATGGTTGGAGATTGTCAAGGTTCAGCCGTTGACATGCCCTAAATCGAAGTTTTCTCTTGAACCCCAATCCTAATGGCAGAGTAGTTTATTTTCCAAGCAACTGTTTTCCGGGCGAGTTTTCCATTTTTGAGCTCGGCGTTTTGCGGTTGTTTTCAAAATCTCAAGAACTGAATTGTTTTCTCTCAAGCAGAGATATAAAAGTTTTGGTTTTTAGCGTATATGCAAGTCTTTTTACAAATCAATTTGATAATTGATCTCCAATATTACAGCATATTCACTCTAAGTTGGTATTCTGACTAAATCTTGAAGATAAAAAGCATGACCCGCGGTCTTTTTGAATTTTTCTAAGAAAACACTTAAAATGACAAAAATTTTGTGAGAAATTTATAACTGGAAATAAGGGTAATGTTTACATTTTTTTTGCGAAAGAAAATTGGTAAAAAGTCAATACAATTTTTAAGATTCCTAACAGCCTGTACACACTGTGAGCTTGATTGGCCATGATGGATCAACTCCCATTGAATGTATGGCCACCAAATATATTTGGTCAAAAATCTTATTCCGGATGGATAATGTGAAGAATTGATTGAAAACCCCTCTGATTGCAACCGATGCTACAATACTGTGCTCAGAAAAAGAAGGTCAATCCTTGCATGTAAATTTGTGGCAAAAAGCAAAGTTTGTTATAACAGCCCATGAATGTGCAATGGTCGCCAAATTATGACCGCCATAATTTTTGTCTTTTCTCGTCAAGATTAGAAGTTATTTTCTCGAGCAATGGTTTTCTGGAATTCAGGCGGAGCTAAAAGAGCCAAGTAACGTCATTGCTCGAGAAGTTTCGCGCAATGACGTTTTCCGCTGATTGGGTTCATTAGTGAGTTTTCAGTTGTAGTGGGAAACGAAATCAAGATATTGAGGCTAACTTGTAATTTTCCAGAGAAAATTCTTCGGTTGTTAATGTAAAAAAAACTATTCAAAAACTATTTTTTTGTATATGTTCTTTGGATGTCAAAGTATAAAAGCTATCGAAATTATTTGTATTTAAAACGAAAAGTATCTACTGGAAATAATTTTGATGGACATGAATCGGTTCGGATTTGGATTGTGTAGCAAACTTTTGGTGACCGCAATATAAAAATCAACACTGCAGCATTAAGTTCCCATACAAAATTGCACTATAAATTTTTATAAGGCTCTTGATCAATAAAATTGAAAAAAAAATTGCAAATAAAATTCAAGTTACCGATGGACTTTTTACAAAGTTGCTATTCACAATAGCTTAAATAAATTATTTGATAAAATTTCAATTTTTTGACTGAAGCCACTATAATTTTGTCGTCGAATTGCACGGGGATAAAGCTTTTCCGTATGACAATTTAGATAAAAAGTCAGTAAATTTCAGTCTTTAAAGTAGACTCCAGTTGAGAATTTTCACCTAGTTTGAAACAAGATTTGAGCGGTTTGAGCGGTTTTTTTAGACAATTACGCTCAAAACCTTGCTTCAAAATGAGCGGTTTGAGCGGTTTATCTAAAAAAAAACCGCTCAAAAACCGCGCCAGATTTGAACGGTTTTGAGCGGTTTATCTAAAAAACTGCGCAAGATTTGAACGGTTTTTGAGCGATTTTTTGGATAATCCGCTCAAAACCGTTCAAATCTTGCGCGGTTTTTGAGCGTTTTTTTTTAGATAAACCGTTCAAAAACCGCTCAAACCGCTCATTTTGAAGCAAGATTTTGAGCGTTATCGTCTAAATGAACCGCTCAAATCGCTCAAATCTTGTTTCAAATTAGGTGAAAAAACTCGACTCGGGTTGCCGGGTAAATGTGAAGTTTGAAGTAATCTGTTAAGCCTGCGGGTCAAACAGCTACACATAGTCTTATTCTTGGGGTTGGTTGACAGGTTAGTTGATTTGTTATTAATGCAAATTCCGATCCGCGCAGGTAACTACGAAGCCCAATCAGAAGCCCGAGTGACCACTCTGAATAGTTTTAATTCGAATTTCAAGTACCAAGCACTTCGATCAATGGTTGTTTAAAAACTTTGAAGCAAATTGCCTTTGTCCGTGATGTTTGTGATTTTTGTATTACGTTGATTCCATTGATTAATGGGTGAAATAACCTTTCCAAAATTTTGAATCCAAGCTATACTGTTTTCTTTTTTTAGAAAAACGCGCATAATTTAGCACCATGTCCAAAGTTTTTAAAACAATTACAACAATCGCTTTTTATTCGTCGAGATTGACTTCGAGTCGAATAAAATGTCGGCGATTTACTTATCTGAAAGTAAGTCCATTGAAACTTGTTTGCAATGTCTTGCTTTCCATAAAATATTATTAAACAATTTGATTTCACATTTATGTCAACAACGATTATACTCAAATTTCACTGTATACTGTTTTTTGTACAAAAATTTAGTTGGGTAAAAGCGTTTCGAAAGTCTTTGCTACTACACCAGGCCTCCTTTTTGTTTTGCGCTTTTCGGGTAGCAATGTCTGCAATGTCTAAGCATTTGTGGATGTTGAGTATTTGATGTTTGTTTTTGG